TGCACAACTAATTCTTTTATTATTAAACTTCATTTTAGCACACTGAACAACCTTTTTTAAAATTAGTTTATAAGATCTAACATATTGTATAAAGTTGACATCATTTGATAATTTGCTCAACTTATGTAGTTCTCTCTTTTTCCTACTTGCTATTATAATGCCTTTTGTTAGCCAGCTTTTTGTTGTTATCTCCTTGCTCTTTGTCTTTACCAAGGGAAATGCCAATTCATAATGATACATGAATATACCAAGAAAATGTTTATAAGCAGTGTTAGGATCAGAGATTTTAGCACAGTATAAAGAATCCCAATTTTCATTACTGATTGAATCTTGGAATTTTAACATGTTTTCTTTCTTAAAACATCGCTTTTTGGTCTCAGTTTTGTTTTTATTTACTTTATAATTTATATTAGTCGATAAAATCTGATAAGTGTGGTCAGAGATGTCAGTATCTACAACTAAAGTTTGACAACTGTCTAAAGCTACATTAGTAAACACGTTATCTATACAGGTTTTAGAAACATTAGTAATCCTAGTGGGTTGTAAAATAGTAGCAAACATGCTGTAAGATTCCATCAGGGATTTGAAATGCACTGTGTGAGTTTCTTTTTTGAACAAATCAAAATTAAAATCTCTACATAAAAATATACTGTACTTAGAATATTTTTTAACAATATGAGAAAGCAAAGAATTTAGAATATTAAAGAATTTCTTTAAAGTTGTTGTATCATTGTGTGGTGGTCTGTATATACACACTACCAAGACAGGTTTAGCTAGTGAGGCTTCAACTGCACAACACTCCAAAACAGATTGCATGGAAAATTTGCAAATGTCATGTTTTTCTGTGGCTTCAATTGTGCTGTAAGACAGTATGCAGACTCCACCTCTTGTTTGATTTTCTCTAATAAATTTAGAAGAAAGCTTGTAGTTTGCTAATTTTTCCATAATAAATGCATTGTGATTATTTAACCAGTGCTCAGAAATACAAACAAATATCGGTTTGATTTTCATTGATTGAAATAGTAAATTTAACTCATCGATTTTAACCTCAGTATTCAAACCCTGGATGTTTCAATTGAAAATACTTAAGACTTTAGGGATGGATCTAAAAAACTACTTTTCTGAATCACTGCGCCAGAACATTTGCCTTGAGCACTCACACCACACCTATTCCCATCAACCTCAGCACACCCCACATCACCGGATTCTGTAGAGAGCTGTTGAGATGTGTCAGGGCAGAAACCAAACGACTGCAGATTAATGCTGGCCTCAATCGCAGGATTTTCTTCTCCAGATCTTATTACTGCTTCCTCACTTCTACTCTTCAGATGACCACAATCCATAAGAGGGTGGGAAGAACTTCGCTGTTGGTCTGGGATGGTTTTGTTCAAACTTCTATTTGCAGCTGATCAATCAAGGGTGCACCTTGGGTGTTGAAGCTCTCTTGCAGTTGTGGAGATGTGTCAGCGGTGGCATCTGCCCACTTGGAGGTAATGATTTTTTGCAGTTTCATTAGAAAGTGAGAGAGGGAGAGACCATTCCACAATTTTCTCTGCGCTTTTGGCTGATTGTATGAAACAATACTAATAGTTGCATTTGAATATTTTTGTAATTGAATAATATTATTTGCAAAGTGTTCAATTTCCACACAAGCTCGCACACCCCATCACAGAGCAAATGAGATGATTTAAGTTCTTCTTTTTAAAGTTTTCACTCAGCTGCTCAAATGCTTCATTGTACTCTTGCACTGTAGGTTTTCCATTATAATCTTTCTTCGTAACCAGGCTGAAGATTGTCGCTCCGTTTTGAACAGATTGCATGGTGAGTTTAGAGTCAATGTAATCAGACTTCTTCGGTCTGCCAAATTTTCTTCTAAAAGCAACCGCCACACCTGCTGACATATTTCTGCTATGGTGGAGGTCTGCCGATATGGTGTGTGCAAATGCCACCTTAGGATCATTTGTGAATTGATCAAACATGTCCCACATACTGCTTTCTACAATATTGATGTTGCCCTCTTTAATAGTTGTCAAGGTAGGGAAGTTCTTAACAGCTGTAGGATCAAAAAGATTCCTAATCATAATTGCAATTTGTTTCTTTCCAAATCTATTAAAATGGAGGCCATGTCTGGTATACAGGTTACGTGGTAACTCATGTAATGGCAAAAAAGATGCGTGGCTGAATTCTTTCACAATTTTTTCTAAGTCCATATTAAGATAGTATATTCGGTTATTTAGAGCTGGGTTATGGTGCCTGTATGGTAAACCGGAGACAATGATGTTCGTGTGAGAAGTATTCTTTAAAACCCGTTTAGAGGCCAAGCTTTTAGTTGGCAGTGCTCTAAAATTTAGGCCGGTTTCATCGGCGTTATATATCTGTTGGGGGGAATAATTTCCTTCGCTTATTAAATTGTCAAATAAAGCAAAATATTCCTGCGCCGCAGCCTGATCTGATGAAAGTTGTTCACCGGTGCCAGTTAGCTGCAGAATACCGTGACGTTTTTTCCACCGGTCAAACCAACCGGTGCTGGCTGTGAAGGAACTGTCGCCATTAAACAGATTGTTCAACTGAATTGCCTTTTCTTGAACGATAGGTCCACTTAAAGGGGTTCCCCTTTCCCTTTCTTGGGAGAACCACAGAAAAAGCGCTTTGTCGACTTTGTCATACCGCGACTGTCGTGCTGTTTGCCGATTTTCAAGGGTTACCTCTGAAGACGTTGTGCAATATTGTTGAAGTTTCGCACGGTTTTTTTTCCAGTCGCAAATTGTAGCTTTGCCAACGTTTAGCTCTTTTGCTAGTTTAGTCCCACTTTCACCACTATCATTGACTATACACAGGGCCGCGTTAAGGGTCAGTGGAGCCCTGGGCAAACCCAAGAGCAGCACCCCCCTTTTTTCCTAGTGCTGGCAGGCGGTGGTTTTGGGGGCACCCAGCGGGCGCCCCTGGGCATATGCCCAGTCTGCCCATTTATAAAAGTGGGCCTGACTATACACAGGAATAGACTTCCCATGTAATGTAAAAATTTGAAGCCAAAAAAACGTGATGCAATCTGTTGAGATGGTCACTAACTAGTAACTAATGACAATATTCTGTGTTAAGTGATAAATCAATCAGCTGTTTGCTATGATACTGCATTGGTTTTAATTAATATTCAACCCAATACACTAGTAAACTCTGGTGAGATGGTCCTGAACTTCATCTATTTTCTTGGTTTCAAACTTTCATATCACATGGGAAGTCTATTTCTGTGTATAGTCAATGCCACTATCTAAACGTTGTAAAGTTTCCAGCTTATCTTTAAGAGTCAAAGTGTTATGTTTACGTTTATTAGACATTGCACTTTCTATCACACTAAAAACCGGTACACACGCAAATCCACAGGTGACTGACCGCACTACGTAAAAAAAAGCAGACTAGATCAAGGTGTTGTTGTGTTGCGATTCTGACAATTAAGCTAGGTGTATTGGTGAGGGGAGGGGGGTAGACGTGTGGGCTACTGTACAGTCTCGGTGAGCAGTGCGTGCAGACGTACAGTCCGTACGCATTATCGTCTCATAATACACGTCTGCCCACCCGTTCATATCGCTCTACGCTAGTTGATTCAGTTGATTGTTGATACGCTAAGTTTATTAACTAATGCGCTTATTTAACTTTTATTTTTTTATTTTGTTGTAGTAAATGGACTATTAATATTGGTTTTTGTGTATTGCTTGTCCATATTACAACACCCCATAAAATTGCTTCCATTTTGATTATCTACGTTATTTCGGCTAATCCGAACAATCAGCTAATCCGAACAGGGTTCGGTCCCAATTAGTTCGGATTAGCCGGACTGCACTGTACCTTTTAGGATGAAAAAATATAAATATGTGTATTTTTTTAAATTGAATTTTAAGATGTAAAAACCACATTGAAGCAATGACATAATTAAATTTATTTATTGTATTAATTTGTAGATATAGTTATAAATATTAATAAATAAAAAAGTTATGACATTTTATTGAAAAATGTTTATTTCTGTTATTTCAACATGGGTGAATATTATACGGTAGCCTATCAATTTATTAAAAAGCAAGACATTCAGAACATGCAAGAAATAAAGTATAAAGAACATAGAAGAAAATGTTAATGTTATATAGTTAGGAACTAGGCCTAAGTTAGTTAGTTAGATATGAAAATAGGTTTCCATGTCCATGCAAGGGCCATAGCATGCACCCAAATATTTATGTAATTACAGATGTAGTTCTTGTTGATTATCGTTATGATGTTTTGGTAAACTCACTAAAAGAATAATACAACTTTTGAAATGAACTTCAAACTACACAAATCTGTAGTAAATATAACCGTATCCACATAGCAAAACAATAACAAACACCGGCAGTTACTCAAATAACAAACAACGAAACAACAGAGTTGCTGACTCAAGAGACAGCTGAGCGATACAGACGACACAGCCTGCCAATATCATTTTAGAAACAATAATATCTACTATATAAAATAAAAAAATTGACAAAATATTACTTTTAATATATTTAATTTAGTAGTTTTTAATTAAGTAATTTTAATTTAATTTAACTGAAGAATATTAAAATGTAATTTATCTATGTATTGTTGGGAGGGCGGCGTCCGAGAGTCCTTATGGGCTAGCCGCCACTGTCTGGCATACAAAGGCATCCTATTCAAGCGCCACTAGCAAATAGCGTTTCCGAGAGGGTTTACATTGCCTGGACCGATAGGTTTGTAGTGGGTAAGAGTCCCACACACCAGGGTAAAAAACATCTTTAAGCCCTGACAGTGCATAAAGTGTTGCCCTATGTATATTTTAGGCTAGAATAGGATGACCATTCTAGTTCAATACTGAAACACTATTAATCAAGAAAAGATATATTCACCTTTTGGGTTTTTGCAAATGTTTCTTACTCTTGCAACTCACATTTTATGTTCAGGGACGAGATGATTAGAAAAAAAATTGTTTATCTTATTTGAAAAGCAATTTTTACCTTGAGAGATGAAGTTCTTCTCAAATTTGGTGAGGAATTCCAGGTAGAGCAGATCATCAGGAGTGAGAGCTTCTTCACCAACCACAGCCTTCATGGCCTGCACGTCCTTACCAATGGCGTAGCAAGCGTACTGCAACAGATCAACAATCATGTGACTGTGCAATCAGGTCTTTACTGATGAACTGGTCTCAACAATACTAACTAAGCAACCAGTGTTTGCATTTTTATCGATTAGAAACATCAATTGAGGGTATCAGACTATCAACCAGTCCCTAAGCGTTTACTTCAGTAGTATTTCATTATTAATTTAAAAATGTATATTTTCTCAATCCAAGGAAGGTCTGTTAATTTAAACAATGTACAGTAACACCCTATTCAATTTTGTTATTTAAATACTTCCAAGGGTATTTATCCCTAAACAAATGTTCAACAAGTTCCTGCTTCCAATCAGCCGCATGATTTTAAACAATAATCTATAATTTATTATTGTTATTCCTCTATCTCTGGTAATATACTTGGCTCAAATCACCAGTTGTGTTACTGACCAGCTGGTTGGAGACGTCTGAGTGGTCTTTCCTGGTCATACCCTCTCCTATAGCAGACTTCATGAGACGGCTGAGTGAGGGCAGCACGTTGATAGGAGGATAGATCTGTCTGTTATGCAACTGTCTGTCAACGTAGATCTGACCCTCTGTGATGTATCCGGTCAAGTCAGGAATGGGGTGAGTAATATCTGAACAAATTTGACAACAATTATGTAATAACAGTACCATTGAGGCACAATACAGTGGCGGATTTAGGGGGGGGGGGGACTGAAGGGGCTGCAGCCCAGTGCGCCAGATTTTTCAGTGGACAAATTTTAAAAGTATGATTTTTAAATTTGAAATTTCAAAAATATAAAACTTCATAACTAGAAAAGTAGAGGGTTGAAAATGAAACAGAAAAGTAACTACTGGACATAGTCAGACATACCGTTAATGGTCAAATCTTTCCACATTCAACCTCCACTAACATCACACATCTCTCGACTAAGATTCTATCCCAGAAAACAGACATGGACGCGTTCAAATCAGCCAACAGCGAAGTAACTCATTGTCTCGTGAGTTACTGATGTGGGCAATATTAGGTACCCAGTGTTAGTTGACATGTTCATGATGTAAGTGAAGTGATCTTAAATGTTTGAGGTGAAGTTTTATAGCCCTTATTAAGTTATCGTTTAGTTGTATACTGTCAGGGCCTGATTAAGGGTCTAGTCGCCAGTAGGCTGACATTTTTCGCGCCCCCTCCTCCCTTCCACTACCCCTCCTCTCCGCTACCACTTTCAAAATTTCTAAGAACGAATACTAATACTGAATTCAAAATTAAAAATGGCCAAAGGCATTATACTAATATTTAGTTTATTTAAAAACAAAAGAAAACTGATCATAAATAATTAATGCATGGTTTGATTAGGTTTACTTGATTTGCATTACTTTTAAAATAGTAACAAATCGGTTGTTCAAGGAATGTAAAACTTTTTTATTTAAAATAATGTTTTTATTTTACATTTTATTAAACATATTATGATTGTATTAAATCAAAAGTAGACCTAACCTAAAATATCAAAAAACCAAACAATAATATGCGTACTTTCTAAATAAACTCTGTTAATCACCTAGGCCTAAACCAATTTTATTAGGACCTTTAGATGGAATTACTTAGTTTACAACATTTATCTGTATTTATCTGCAACAAAAAGTATTGTTAAATGTTTTTACAAATTATTACTATAAACTAGCTGTAACCCACGGGCACCCCGTTTGACTTCATAAGTATTAATAAAACTATTGATTGGTTAAGTTAAGCTGAAATAAACAAATAAGTACAACTGAGGTATTTTTAACATTTGGTATATGGAAAGTTCCCTTTAGAAAGGAATTACGACCTTAAAGGGCAATTTATGAAATAATGGATAGTTTTGAGCAAGGTTTCTCGTCATTACGAATATTTTAAGTATATGGTTTATGGGGATGTGACTTGTAGTTTTCTCAAAAGTTCATGGGTACTTTGGGCTTTATATGTAGAGGTGTATAGTCAATGATATAATGATTGTGAAAATCTGCCGAACGCACCCTTCCCTAACATGAACCCCCTTTTTTCCTTCCCTATTTGCTCGAATCCTTTTTTGGAATAAAACATTTTTTACGCCCCCGGTCCCAACTTTATGTCTTGGCTGTCTGGCGCCCCCCTAAAAACTCTTGGCTGACTGGCGCCCTAGGCTCCAGCTTAACTAGCCTAATGGGTAATCAGGCCCTGTATACTGTATTTAAATTGTGTACGTTTTCCATTTATTCACTCCCCGTATTGTCAGATGGTAGGGCGGTAGGCTATTAAACTTATCATGTTATTTCAATAAAATTTGGATAGCGATAATTAATAACCTCAAATCAAACTGAGTTTGGTATTTCTTGACTTTTCTTTTAAACCTTCCTATGATCATATTTAAACAATAAACTACCTTATAAAATTTTTCAAGGCTTGGAAACCACCACAATTTGTGGAAGTATACGGTACTACTTTCTTAAGACGTGGAAACAAGAAGTACTTTCTTCATAGCACACCAAGAAACAAGAAGTAATACGGATCTGGATCTACTTTGGTTGAAACAATAATTATCTTACTGATGCATGTGAGGAAAACAGGTTGGGGTTTATGCGGTTTTGAGGCTGCATTAAGTGTTTTGAAGTTAAGTTAGAATAGGAAGGTTAAGGGTAGGTTTATGATAGGTAATCAGGTTGTTTATTGATGTTACACCCATATTGTTTTTTATCTTTTGGAATAAATAATAAAACAAAAAAAATTAAAAAACTCTGCCGCTGGGCACAAACCCAAGACAACACTACCTTGGTTCCCCAGGGCATCTTCACAGTATGTCAGACTGCTGACTGAGCCACTGACTCAACCAATTATACCCTGGGGACAACTTATGTGGGCCTAAGGTGATGTTACAAACCTAATCTAGAAAATGTCAACCTTGCTAGTTGTCTGCGGCCGATTCTAGGAGTTAAGTAGACTTAACCTCATTTATGTAGGTGGTTGTTAAGTTAGTTTATCTACGATCTTTTTTTTAAGTAGCCGTTTCAGTTCAGTTCTTAAAATTGAAAAGTTTTACATAACAGCGTTGTTATGCTGTTATTGCTATACTTTCATAACAGCCTAGTTTTACTCATAACAACATGGGTAACGGAACAATGAGGTTCAAGGATTGAGAGAGAAGTAAAATTGTAATGATTCAAACATCTAATCAGCTGTTCAGGCCAATTTAATTGTTGAGTGGTGCAATTAGTGTTTGGTACAATGTTTCGATGCATCACTGTCAGTGGCAATGAGAGGTTATAAACGAAAAACATAACCTCTACTAGAAGTTATAAGTAGTGATTTTCAGTAATTAAAACTCTGTGGTAAGTAAAGTAGAGAACGCAACTTGCATAAATAGTGTTAACGACACTCGTACAAGTTTTTAAGGCACTTGCCAAGGCTCATACCTAAAATTTTCTACTCGTGTTGTTTACACCATCTTTACGCAATCGTTGCGTAAACTACTATTTAGCACTAAATTAAAAGTAGGGATGGACGAGATTGAATTTTTAGATTCGAGACGAGACGAGACGAGATTTTTTATTTCTCATAAAATTTCGAGACGAGATCGAGACGGGATTTCCCTTCTCATACACAACGGGAAATGCACGTTCAAAATTTTTACCTGATTTTGTAACATTGTTAGATGACTGTTTAAATACAAAAATAATGATAATAGGCAAGAATATTTACAATCTTTTATTAAAAAACATCAGCATAACATTTTTTTATTAATCACGCCTAACTTATTAAAAATGCCTACGATTAGGAAACATAGTGATATCAGTTAGGATAGAGTTCAACTTATCCTAAAATAAAATAAATCATAAAATAAAGGCAATATTAATTTTTATAAAATAGTTACTTGTTTTGACTTTTTATAGTAATAAAACATTCCTCACACTGCTTACACTTAACAAAACTTCTCAAATGTTATTAAAGTAATATTATTAAAATAATTAAAGTAATATTTACATTTATAGAATTAATTAAATAAGAATGCCTTCGCAAAAGAAACGCAACTACAACACGCTCCTGTATTGCGGGTATTGCATTGACTTTCTGCAGGCGTTTTTAATTTTTTTTTTTTTTTTTTTTTTTTTTTTTTTTTTTTTTTTTTTTTTTAATTCTCGTCTCGATAAAAATCTCGGCCAAAAAGAAATCTCGTCTCGTGTAACGAGATTTAAAATTTCCCGAAATTTCGAGACTTGACCATCCCTAATTAAAAGTAAATAAATTAAAGTCTTGAATCAAACATCAAAATGAGTTACAGACCTTACTTGATATTGTTGAAGGGTGACCAATAGTCTATGGTCGAACCCACAAAACAGCATATTTACTTAGAACATACAAAATTTGCATGTGGCAAAACCTATATGAGCTTCATCCAAATAAAGTTGGAATAGGGGGTCTACGATGAACCAAAAAGATGATACAGTACGGTTCCGGCCTAGTTACCGTCATCCGTTCGGTACATTTGGGACTTTCATTTCAGTCATTTTACTATCATAGTCAGAAAGTAGTTTTTCTGAAGTCAAACAGTAAAACTTGTGGGACAAGCAAAGATTGCACAATTGATTTACACGGTTACCACACAATATGAGCAGACGGTAAGCGGACGTGATGTAAGCAAGAGTAGTTTAAATGGGTTATCAATGGAATATAAAATACCTAGAAGACATTTGTACTATTGTTATGTCTGTTGTTTAATTATAGTTCCTTGTAACTTTTAAACTTTCTGCTTGCTAAACTTAATTACTTTAAGAATTTAAAGTCCACAATCCTAGTTTTAACCTATTTTCTATCCTAATTTAAAATAGAATGACCTTGAATACAGATTTATTTGGAAGGCAAAAATATTGTTAAATGTTACAATCAAAACGCAAAACATATCTTAAAACCTACCGTCATTAGGCATAGTGAGAATAGGGATCTGTGTGATGGAGCCGTTCCTGCCCTCGACTCGCCCAGCTCGCTCGTAGATGGTGGCCAAGTCAGTGTACATGTAACCTGGGAAACCTCGTCTACCAGGCACCTCCTCTCTGGCAGCAGACACCTCTCTCAAGGCCTCGGCGTAGGAGCTCATGTCTGTGAGGATGACCAGAACGTGCTTCTCACACTGGTAGGCCAGGAACTCTGCAGCAGTCAGGGCCAGACGAGGGGTGATGATACGCTCAATGGTGGGGTCATTGGCCAGGTTCAAGAACAGGCACACATTCTCCATGGATCCGTTTTCCTGTCAAAAAAATAAACCTGAATTTAAAGAAGGGTAAATAATGTGTTCAAATAAATGCAATGCAAAAATCTAAATATTTAGATAAAATATATTTTTAAAGAATATATATGTTGTAATTCTATTATAGCATTTCAACATCATTTTATTATTATATCCTTTATTATATTATTATTAGGGATGGGCCGATTCCGATTCTCGATACTTCTCTTCATTGTAACTCGATACCGATTCTGGAAAGTGAGGTTAATTATGATGCTAAACTCAACTGATATTGAAGGTTGTAAAGAGTGGCACATCATAGTTTATTTGGAATACTCTGAAGTCAGCTAATATAAATAATTTCAAGTTCATTATCTCACATTCATAATAGTTTTATAATCCAAAATAGTTTGCCTTTGTATTTCACAACGAATGGCAAGTTCAACTAACAGATAGAGGCTTATCACTTGCTGCCATGTTGTCAGATCAAGGGCAATGTTGCCAGATGGTACAAGCATTGAATATATAAATATAATACACATAAAGTGTATATAGTCAATGGTAACTCACGTTTTCTAACTCGTGATAGGCTTTATGTACGTACAATTCATTAGCAGCTTAAGAGTTTGATAACTTGCTGACCATAGTGTATAATATCATTGACTATAAACACACTTTGTGAGTATATATAATCAATGGTTGCTCCTTTAACCCTCTAAGTATTGCCCTACCCATATTGGGCGGGTTTTCTGATGCGTACGAGTGTCGCCCGCCCAAAATCGGGCGAGTTTGTAGGAGCTAAGTTTTGTTTGTTGCTGATCAATGCCCCAGCTTACTTATACTAACTGTTCAGCTAATTCAGGGCATCATGGTGACTATTGCAGATTGCCGCTTTGCGATGTATTTTTATCATTATAATATGTTGTTTCTCTCTGACTAAACTGAAACAGCTATCGAGAGTTTGCAAACGGCAAATTAATTGTTAAACTAATGTTTATGTTTTGGTTTTGTTGTTTCTTTGATGTACGTGCGTAGCGAGTTGTTAAAAATGGGTTACGATCTCCGTTCCAGTGATGTGACGAACTCCATGACTTTTATGTGATTCTTTAAGTAATTTAAGTGATATTGAAGATGACTTTGATATTGACTTTGAGTCTATAACTCAACCAATATGGAACATTCATTGTAGGCCTAGATGTACAAATTCTTATGCAAACAAAAAAAACTAAGTAATCATTTTAGGCCTAACCAAACCGGTGATTGTTGTCTCAATTTCATTTAAAAAAATATGCTAATATGTATGTCTTCTTGAAGTATCTTATTTTCTTTATAGGCTAATCTAAATAATCCGTGTAACCTTAATTAATAGCAATGCAGTTATCTTATTGTAAAGATAAAATAAAAATAACATTCATAGGGATAGTGAGAAGCAAACATTTAAGTTATATTAAATACAATTTTGATAGGTATCCGGATCGGAATCGACCAATTCAGGAATCGGCCCATCACTAAATAATGAATCTATATTATGGTATAATATAATATTCTATTATTATAAATCTAGATTAAAATTTATATCTATATTAAGATCGAAATAGCCTTAATAAAAATGAGGGGTTATATACTCATACTGTGTATGATTCTTTGTTACAATATAACAACAGATTTTCACACTAAAATATGGGATGTTTTAGGATGATAAAAGTCTTTTTCACCCCTGCAAAAACAATAAAAACATGCATTGAACGGCCGTCGCTCCGGATGGAATGTGTAAAGATATAATGTTAAATTTGTTTCCCTTACAGATTAATGTTGGTTCTAGGGCCCTCTTATTTATTACCAAACCAATTGTGTACAAAATAAATATACAACTAAGTGGGCTAGAATGTAATATTCTACTAGCCTAGTAAGCAATCATTGGAACTTTTCCAAAACATAAATATCCCTAATTTATTTGTAACACAAAACAAATACTTACACAATAAATATGTAAACCTTTAAACAAAAAGTGACTATTTTACAGTACTGTGTGATTATTTACACATTTACCACTATTAAAAAATTATTGAACATATTTTACAGTATATATGTCTTGTTTTTTTTTTATGTATTATTAGTTTTAAAATATACCAACAACTTAAAATTCCTAAAAAAATACCTCAAAATCTTGTTTGAAAAATCTAGCAGTCTCCATGTTGACTCCCATGGCAGCAAACACAATGGCGAAGTTGTCCTCATGGTCATCCAGAACTGACTTGCCTGGAAGCTTGACCAGACCAGCCTGTCTACAGATCTGGGCAGCAATCTAAAAAAACAACCACAACTGTTAGGATCAAACCATCTGGTGTAATTAGCAACAGGAACTAATGGTCAAAGTGACTGTATTACTCACTTCATTGTGAGGTAGACCAGCAGCTGAGAAGATAGGGATCTTCTGTCCTCTGGCTATGGAGTTCATCACATCAATAGCAGAGATACCAGTCTGGATCATCTCCTCAGGGTAGATACGAGACCAGGGGTTGATGGGTTGACCTGGCAAACAATCATTCGCCACCATTACTAAATATATCTTCTCTGGAGAGGAGGAATTAGTAAAATATTGGCCTATATAAGATTATTCGATTATTGTTTTCTCGCCGATACTCGATACTTCACTTCATTGTACTCGATACCGATTCTGAAAAATGGGGTTAATTATGATGCAAAACTCGACTAACGTTGAAGGTTGTTGAGAGTGGCACATCATAGTTTATTTGGAATAGCCTACTCTGAAGTCTGCTAATCATATATTTTAAAACGTGACAGGGTTTTTTTATTTCACGATTCTGAATCAACCACTTGACGGATTTTCATGATTTTTATGTTGAAAGAAAGATAATTTTAAAAACTAGGGAATGTGGAAGCCATAATTTAAGCTTAGGGTTTTAGTTTTTTAGAAATTAAGTTTTAAATTTTAAAATGTCTAGGAGCCGACGCTAACATTCTAGACTAGCTCTTGGTTTAATACTATTTGCTTAACGTAACAGCTGTAGGCCTAAACATTTAGCGTTTGTAACAAAAATTCAGCATTTGGATGAAAATGAAATGACATACGTAGGGTTGACTTATTCATACTATGTGTAATGCTATAATTATTACCCATCGCAATATGGATAAATACTACTACTAACTCATACACCACCTTTCAATAGGTACACTTCTTTTACACTAAAACACTAACCTTTGATGAAAATTAACACAGATAATAATGTAGCCGGAGCCACACTGAAAACCTTACTTTGATTCCAGCGAGCAGAACGCAAACAACTTGTTTTTCCAGTTACCACAGATGTGTCACCTGAATCTCAATACTGGAAGGCACAAAAAAAGAGATAGAACGTTTTCTCAGCTTAAAATAAGTTTGACTCACGTCACGCTATGTCAATTACCAATATTTTTTTTATTAGTGATTTAGAAACCGCTGTTGAAACGGCGCTTTGGGAAAAATGGCAAGTTGATAAAACAGCTGATTTTAAAAATTTATTTCTCAGACATCCTAACGTCGTATGACAAAGTTCTCTTTACGAAAATAAAGAACAACTCATGTTCTATCCAATGTTACAAACCACTCTCTGTTTGGGCTTCACGATTTTTTTAAAGAAGACATGTTTTACGAGATTTGCCGATCGCGACTCGAAAATGTTTCACGCGCTAAATTAAGTTATTATAATAGCAGTTATATGGATCTGTTATTGCTGCAAAGTTTGTTTATATATGAAAATGAAAGTTTAGAATCTCCTCTTTTCAACGGTACTATTATTACACTTCTAGATAATTTTCGTTGCCTAGTAAGCGTTGGGAGAAAAATGTACAAACCGCCGTTCAACGTTAGTTGAACATCTGGCGCATACATGAAACCGCTGTTTAAACAGCGGAAGTCAGTTCTAGGGTTAATATAGTAACGTATGGTTGCAATTCTTTTTTACCCATCAACTTTTAACCCATTGGGGAAGGAATTAATCCGCTACCTGCAGCACCCTCTGGCGGCAATTAATTTACCGAATTTGTAGACTTTTACTCTAACTGCTATAGAAAGAAAACCTTAGGTAATAAATTAATAATTCTTTCACCATTTTGTTTATGGTAAAATTGTCTACAGAAAAGTGTTAATTGGACAGTCAAAGTTCTAAACTAAAAAAAAAATATATATATATATAAAGATTATAAAAATAAAAATTTTTTAAACAATATTTTGAAAGTAAACTTGATATACAAATTCCAAGATTAATCCAGACACCAAATAACACTACTATTATAAAGGTCAATCGATTCCCTACGTAGAAAAATCAAAAGTTGTGTACTTTTATAAGTAATAACATTTTTTTTTAAATTGTTTGTTTACCTTACCGCAGCTGATTTTTGGTGATATGTGGTTTCCATGGCAACACAAAATTGTTTGTTATTCGCTAAAATAAATGAGTAAATACGCAAATCAAGAAGCAAGATATTTATAAACATTATAATAGTAAGAAGAAACAAAAAGGGCGAAAAATAATAATAACTAAATAAAAAATGGCGCTGCCTAGCGGTGACACGAGCGGCTCTCGTAAGCCGGCCTCCGGGCCTGCAGCGGCCGTAAGAGTAACGCTCGTAAGTCGGCGCCAATGGGTTAATATGTAAGTTTTTTTTAACTAAGTAAACTTGTAAGTAATCGTATCATTTGAAAATTAAATTGTATGTTACAGTATTTTCATACATGCATCAGGGCCTTATATAATTTTTACTAGGATGCCTTATACAACAGATTTAAACATCAATATTATCTTTTCAGTGTCCTCTCCGTTGCAAAGCACGGGTACAGCAGCTTATATTATCATATAAAATAACAGACTACACACTGAGTGTTTAAGTACCCTGAATGTCCAGGTAGTCCTCTGCCAGGATGGGGGGTCCCTTGTCGATGGGTTTGCCGCTGCCATTGAACACTCGGCCTAACATGTCCTCAGATACTGGGGTACGCAGAATGTCTCCCGTGAACTCACAGAGTGTGTTCTTGGCATCAATACCTGAGGTGCCTTCAAAAACCTGTCCCATACACAAACACAAAATAGAGTTAAATACTGTACCAACAACCAACAAGACAATCTAAGTATCAAATAAACAAATTTCCAAATTTTGATCAAAATATGTTCACAAACAAGCAAACTATAACAGTTTGTTAAATAACTTATATAAGACAAACATAGGAATTATAGATTTAAAGTTTTTTGGAATTTTCTTCTTAACATTAAGCGCATAATAAAGTTTTGTTTTAATATAAAAAAAATTTTCATGCTTGACATAATAATTTGGAAATGAATTGAGAAATTTTATGTTTTTAGGGTCAATAATGGAGAAAACCTCTTTTTACCTGCTTAAATCCCCCCTAAACTCCCATTCCCATAGTCCATTCAATCATGATGGTTTGTGAATATGGGAAAGTTAAAATCAGCATATTTTAAGGAAACATAATTCATATTTGTCTGACTACTTCTGTTTAACTTCAGAAATAAACAGGAAACAATAACTGAATTAGCCTATTTCAATCAACGTTAAAAATCTATAATCAGGTACTGTATACCATTTCTGGGGGGGGGGGGGGGGGAGGAGGGCCTTGGATTAGAAATTAGGGTAAAATTCTATTATGATATTAGGGCCTGTTGTAAATTGATACCATGCTAAGTACAAGATGTGTTGTAGTCAAAGAAATTTATTGGATCAGATTCAACAACAAAGCTGTCTCAATAGCCAACACAATATACTGCATATACTGTGCCAAAGCTTAGTCAAATGTCCATGTTGAACTTGACTTTGAATTATTTTACATTCAATGTATACATGAGGAGTATTAAAAAGTTTTAATTAGAATAAAAATGTATCTAATCATTTTATACTTTGAAGTACTTTTCATTGAAATCGTGACCATACAAAGTAGGTATTTTATTTTAAGCCAAGTATGAATGGAGATGAGTGTAGGATGAGTGGCACGATCTTGTAGTCTTGTTAGTGACTAAGGCTAGCATATTCCTTAGACACAGATGTTAATTAATAGCCCATACAGCTAATGGCAACTAAGGGACCTACAGTTTATAGTGGAATCTGAACCACATTTTTGCATAAGATGACTGTGGCTGATAAAATCCAGTTTTAAATATTTAATAGGCTACTCTAATTGATGACAAGTTAATGACTTATGGTATATTTATGTACATGTATTGGGGGATATTAGCGTAGCATACCACAAAAATACATTTTCCAGTCAGCCTTTATCACATTTTTGCTGCAGCAAGATTTACAGTAATATGCAAAAATAATAATAATTTTCTACAAGTAGTAATAAAACAAAGTTAGAAATGGTTGAAACCAGATAGGCAGACACAACACAGGCCTCATAGGCAGAAATGTAAAAAAAACACTAAAACCTTACAGGTAATATTTACTACATTTAAAAATTCTGGCACGGCTACAAAGCAGATGTTTTGTCTCCTTTCTCTTCCTGACAATGATGGTGAAAGGAAGGCTCAGCCAGGAATATACAGTAACACCAAACATTATTCCTGATGGTTCAGACCATTAATTCACAATATTTATGTTTGCAGAATAAATCTCAATAAGCATAGATCACATAAGCAGTTCAAATAAAAAGAAATATAATATGTAGCTTACAAAGTTTAGTTTTGCAACACAATCTAGATATATTTGGTTCGGCCATTAAAATAATCATCTAGGCTTCAATAAAATCCAGCTGATCTGGCAGGTCTTTTTTGTATTGAAGAAGCCTTACCAAAACGTTCAGCTATGTTGATTAGAGTTCACAGAAAATCTAATGAAGTCGATAGTAGACCTACTATCCTAATATTAATAGCAATAATAATATCAATAGAAGAAATAAAAAAACAAAGTGAAAAATATCAAAGAAAATTAGAAATCCATCCAAATTTCCTGGCAGTTAACCTCCTCGACAATAGTGAAGCTACATATAGGCTCAAAATAGTTAATCTAATAGACCTTCCAAATCGTTTTAGTTAAACTTTTTAAAAGTTTTTGTATGTTAGTGCACTTGATGGAGTGTATCTAACCCATGTTCTAGTATAGAATAGATTGTAAATAAATACTTGTTAAGAAAAAAAAAATCTTGACAATAACAGCGATTTGTATACAGCGCTCAGTAACCTGACATTTTGAGATTCAAAACGTACTAGATTAGCAATTTTATACCATATTAAGGCAGGAAAGATCAAAATAGGCAACGCTCACGCTGCTTTAAGCAGTCATTTAACTTTTAATAGATATCACAAGAAAGATAAATTACAGATAGTATACATTTCATAAATGTTACACATACATACAGTGTGGTACATACACACATAATAAACGTGTGGAAGTAGATCTTAACAAAACTAAAAACATGGTTCTAACCTGCACAACGGCCTTAGACCCGCTAACTTCCAGGACCTGGCCAGAACGTATGGTTCCATCAGCCAGGCGAAGTTGAACAATCTCTGCAAACTTGGGAAACTTGACCTCATCTAGGATGACTAGAGGACCATTTACACCTGACACTGTCTTGTAAGCTGAAACACAAGTAAATGAACAGACACATTAGAGGGCCCCATGACTGTGCAAAGCTAAAGCTTAACAAATTGTAAAAAGTCAGTTTGAGGTCTCCATCAAGTTCCCATTGCAGCCAAAAAAGTTATTTCAAATCTAAAAACAGCAACATTATTTTCTTTACTAGGCCTACATGCACTGTTATTATAGCTAGACGATGCCAGTAGGCAAGACAATAGTTGTCAGAAGACAACTGACTGGCATGAAATTATTGGCTTCTCGTTTTTAAAGACTTCAGGCTACTTGCCTTGCCCCCTGTTCTCACAATTTCCCTGAAATTCAGTTGTCTCCAGTAGTAGACGGAGGACAACTAACTGGCCTCTGACAACCCCACAATCTCGTTATGACAATTGGCAAAGACAACTGGCATTGTGTAAATCCGGCTTTTATATGACATAAGTAATCCTATCACAGTACGGTATTCAAAAACATTATGGAAAAAACTGACTCTTCCACAGAGTAGAAATCTGTGATTAGATATATCTTTGTCTAAGTAGTCAACCGCTATTGCGGCCAATCTTCAGTTGATGGACGTGAATCGTGAATGGAGTAGTGTTTGAACACCAAAAATGAGCAAGGGGGTGGAGGGAGTTCAGAGGTGGTTGTAAACATGTGTACAATGTTTTCCATGGGGTTGTTCATCAGTCTGTAAATTTTCTGCCTCATTTCCTCTGTAGAGGTAAAAGAAAACAAGAAATCAAACAAACTAAAGTGTTACCAGGGCCGTGCTGGGACCCTCAAGAGGGCGCTGGACAAAGTGTCATGAGGGCGTCAACCAAAAACCGGGGGGCACGGGGGGTATGGAATACCCCCCGTGCCCCCCGGTTATTGCCCCCCAAAGTATTGCCCCCCGGTTAACGCGGGGCGGGGGGTCCGGGGGTCCTCCCCCGGAAAAATTTTGAAATTTTAGGTCTAAAATTAGTAGTTTTTAACCTCTTTTATGCTATTTTGACAAGAAATTATATTTATTTAAAAAAATATTATTTCAGCCAGAAAATTACTATAATTTTTTCAGGGTTTAAAAATATTGCAGTCATTAGTATTGTGTTAAAAACATTTAATTTGCTTAAAGTTTATTAAACATACATGTAATACGGCTACATGAGAAAAAATATTCAAGTAGATCACACTATCATAGAATTAGTTAAGATTCAAAACTTAACTCAAAATACCTCATTTAGTATATAAATAACAATTGGGTATTGTAATAATTAATTGTGATTATGCCGAATAAGCCATATGTATAATAATAATAATAATAATAATAATAATAATAATAATAATAATAATAATAATAATAGTAATAATAATACGGCTACATGGCTACATATGTGCAAAAAATAAAGGAGATTACACTATCATTAGAATTAGTTAAGATTCAAAACTTAAACTAAAAATACCTTATTCAGTATATAAATAACAACTGAGTACTGTAATAGTGTGAATAGCTTTCTTAACATATTACATATATTAACTTGTAAATCTAACATTATTATACAAAATAGATAAACAGTTTATCTAAGCATTTGTTTATTTATTGAATGCCTTTATGCCTTTGCTTTCACCGTGATTTTGGGTTATCCATGACACTTCAACCAGTCATTCAATTCCCCCGGTTAATTGGGAGTTGACTAATATGCTTGAAATCTTACAATCTAAGCTAAGCCTAGTAAATTGAAGTTAAATTCCACAGAGTGAATAAGAAATGAAATAAAATAATAGGCCTAAATAAAATTATATAAAACTCGTAAAATAGCTGCAAACTATCAACCAGACCCTTAAATAATCATGTAACGAACAAACTATATTAAAACACCACTCACTTAAAAAAAAAATTGTCTGACAAGTCAAGTGCCGAACTTTAAGGTTAAGTTTTAATGTAAAGTTATTTTTATTAAAGAAAAAAATTAAAAACTGTCTAAATGTTGTCAGTAGCTAACTAGGGAAACTCAAAACTTAAACACTGAATATTTCAGGGAGAAATAAAAACATATGTAGGCCTATACATTATTCCCTTCATAAAATAAATAAAATACAGTTAATATAATAAAAAAATAAACGGCTTTATGGGCGTTTTATTGGAACGGTTTTGTTGTAGAATGGAAGCTCTAAGTGAAAAATTATACATAGGCCTACGTTAAGCGTTAAAATACACTAATTATTTCACAATTTATTAACTACAGGAAAATGTAGGCCGACTGTAGTGTTAAAGATAATGCGACTTGCGACAATGAAATTCGATGGTACCGGTAGCTTAATAATTATGGTAACATTCTTTACATTTGGTAGTACTAAACTAAAATAATAATAATAGCAATATAATAATACAACAACAATTACCTGCAGGCCTAACCTATGAAAGGGATGTAAACAAACCGGTTTGCTTCTGTTGTGGCTCCGCGCAGACCAGACGACTCAAGACTAAAATAGATTCTACCTCTACTTGACTCCGGTCCTAGTTTTCCGTACTGCCAACAGTTCAACGTCAAATTCGTTTTTATTCTGTCTCAGACATAGCATTCAGTTATGAAATGCACTGATGTAAAACTTCTTCTATTAAAGATTTTTTCTCAAGATTGTTATGTGAGGAAACCAAAACCATATTTTTTTATTTTTATTTATTTATTTATTTTTTGCCTTTAGAGCTAGGGCGTCAATTGGGTATTCCTTGGGAGGGCGCACCGGGCAATTGCCCGGTTGCCCGCCTGGCCAGCACGGCCCTGAGTGTTACTGATCAAAGGGGGAAATTTAGCTCAAATGTAAAGTACTCGCTAAGTGGAGGACCTCTAGGATCGAGGAATAAGTGAACACCAATGACAGTAAGATACCATGGTCTAATAATCTATAAACTAAACGTGCACACAATTAATATAAAATACATCAAATGAAGCCAAATGCTACAGAGTAAATCAATACTGATATAATAGTAAAATAGAGAAATAAAATTGAAATAGAATTGAATATTTACACCCTATATTTATTTTAAATAGTCTGTTTCTTTAAACAAACGTTTAAATGAAATATCTCTCTGAACACTTAATTTATTAGCATAATAAATCATAAAAACACTTTTAATATTCTAACCTAGATAATCAACACCAACACCACGAGCAATTGAGGTCATCCGTCTGATATTCTACTTTAATCAAATACAAATTTTAAATACTCTCTCACGTTTGTACTAAACTTACCCTAATTTGTAATTATTTACAAACATCTTTAATTATCCATAACTAAGTCCTTAATTATAATCCTTAAGTATATTGCTATATTTACAGCCTATCCAACAAGTTTATTTAGGCTACTTGAGTTAGTTTCAAATTTCTATATGTTTATAAGTCTCATTCAAGGCAGGGACCAAAGAAAGCGCCAGTTTTCATACGACATGGTGGTGTCTTTAAACGAGAGGGTTTGGTTAACTGATAAGGGATGTCTCCCAAAGATTACATTAAATCCTGGTCCAGACTCAACTACGCAGATCAGTAAGCACAGCTTTCTTAAATTTAATCACTGCCTCAATGAAAATAAACGCACATCCGCTGCCGGCCTTCTTGTGAAAATATGTAGATTTGGCCTATGGCCTTCTGCTGATTCTTTTATGCCACTTGTGTACATTCTCTATGTCAAATAGTATATTTTGTACCTAGGGCCGAAAATGAGGTTTTGCCGGCTTGAGATAGTTTTTAAGTTCGAGACGAAGTTGAGATAGTTGCACACTGATAGTCATCACAACTACAACTTTAATGTTATGTGAAGAAGTAATTTGAGGAATCAGCAAAAATAATAATAAACAGTTGCTAGGCAGTGGTGACAATAAAACAATTCAATTGCAATGCTATGGATACTGATTATGAATTTAATATGCATTCATGTTTTAAGAAAGTATGTCTTGCAGCTGATTTTGAGGCCGTAGGGATGTAAAAACCAGCTCGGTCCCTAAATGACAATGACAGCTGGCATGGCCAGCAAAACGTAACTTTCAGCCCCCAATTTAATGTAAAACAGCTAAAAACATCATAGTGTGGTGAAAACACTTTTATTTGTACTGTAGTACACATTTATCAGCTGGCAACAACACAAGCGTCTAGGCAGCCAGTGCAACTCCGAGGATCGTGGATCAGATCGGAAAACCCCCCATCAGATTGGAGCACTAAACATCTTGTCTCATTTATTTGCAAACAGGCTGACTGGGATGGTTCGTGGCCATTTGAAAATTAAGTAAATTAGGTGCCGGTAATTGATCTTTTGATGACGGGTCATGGATTCAGTTGGGAAATACCTTCACCAGTTGGTGAACGTAAGGTTATTTTGCTTGGTGGTGTTTTTTATTTCTGGTTTATGATAATGATATTCATCAAACCTTCTTTGAGTGTCCACTTTCCAGAACAAAGACGAAAGGTTGCCTGTAACATGCAGGGTTACTGCAGTGGTGACAAGATTTTGTGGCGTCAACTGGTGATGTCGGTCTGTGAGACCAACTTTTAAATGAGTTTTTTTTTACATAAGTATTTTTTTTGTTTCTTAAGTACCCCAACCTACTCTAGACTAAATATTAGAAATATGTTAAAAAAAACATTGTGTAATAATACTAAAGTACTAATATGTAGGCCTGGATTCAAGATTCAAGATTCAAATAGGCTAGTCTTTATTCAATATATAACATATATAAAACATACATGTATCTGAATAGAGTCAAAATCTATACAAATCATACACATTAAAACATAAATCTACGCAACATGTCCATTATGAAAAATAAATGGAAATTCAAATGAAATACTTTTTTTATCTACAAATTCTTGTAATGAATAAAAAGGATTTTTTACTAAGAAATCTTTTAAAAGTTTTTTGAATTTTTTTAAATTTGTCTCCTGCCGGATGCTTATAGGTAAATATTGTAACAATTTCAATCCTGCATAGGTGGTTTTCTTTCTATAATATTCTAATTTATGCTGAGGCAATCTAATTTTTAACCTAGTATTATAGTTATGCCCGGGATTGGAGGGAGTTGTTAGTTCCCTTTGTTTCAAAAAGATGGTGGTTTCAAGAATACACAGTTAAAATGTCCAATTTATGAAAAAGATTCTTCACTGAGATGGTTTTCCGTAATTTCATAATAGTGCGAATTGCTCTTTTTTGCTGTTTAAGTACTTTATCAAAATTTGATTTTGTTGTTCCACCATAGACTGTGATTCCGTATAAAATGTGGGATTGAACTAATGAATAATAAATAATTTTTAAAGTTTCCAAATCACAGACTCTGGACATCTGTCTCAGAGCATAGATACCAGAAGATAATTTGTTTACGAGGTGGTTGATGTGATCATCCCATGAGAGATTTTCATCAATGATTAAACCAAGAAATTTAGTTAGGCCCACTTGATCTATGAACCGTCACTTCAGATAGTAGGCCTACCGAAGTTAACTGACTTCGGACTGGACATGAATATAGGCCGATATTTTAAGCATAGATAGGTACCTACAATTCACATTTATTTGTGTTAATCTGTGGGTAACGATTTTCCGTGTCAAAGATATAAAGGGAATAACTTGGGCCTAATAAAAAAATGAAGAATAAACTTAAGCTAAATAACTTATACAATGTTAACCGCCATGTCATGTCTCCGTTATTTGTACGGTATTTAATTTTACATTCTAACAGTCAAGACCATTACATGATTGATTAATAGAAATGCTAAATTTGATAAGCCGTTTGCCTAGCCTAATAGGCCTACATCTTGCATCAGTAGGCCTATTCAGGGTCATAGTTGTACCACAGTAAGTTAAGTTACTTGAAGATTTGACAAAAATGAAGATTTTGCTTAGGTAGTCCTATGCCTTGTTATGAAATACGCAGAGGATACGCGTACGGTAACCGGACGTGGATTAGGCATCCGGTAGTTACTGTCATAACCTAACCTTACCAACCAAACTTGCTGATAATGAAAAAATTGAATGAAGGTTAAATTCTGTTCATAAAATAAAATTATAAATGCCAAAAATTCTAACAAATGAGGGTAGACCTCCATATCTGTTGGCAAAAACAACCGAATGAAAATATCGATTTTTCGATCGTTTCATTCGATATATCGTTCGGTTCGTTAACCTTACCTAACTACTTAACCAAACGATATATTGAATAATCGATATATCGATCAATAATTTCATTCGGTTGTTAATGCCAACTTGGAAGTCTACCCACAAAAGCTGTATAGGAAGAAACGGCATTCAGTGCAAATTTTTAGCAAAAAAAGTTAAAGTTACTGATGAGATTCAAACCAGAGACCTCTTGCATAACAATCGAGCACTCTATCAACTAAACCACAAACACTGATGGCTGAACATCGTATCGTTGTGGTAATGGCGTTCCTGGCCCCCACAACCCGGTGACGTCACATTGCCGGACCCCTAATCCACGTCCAGTTACCGCGTATCCTCTTTGTAAGAAATAATTTAGAGAGTAGGGAGTTTAACAATAAGTGGGAAAGTCTCTGTTGGACATTATCATACAGTAGTAAGTTAGGCCTAGGCTACTAAGACCTCTGTTTTACAAGGAATAGAACTGCAATGGTCTATAAATACATGGAATAAATGTAGAGTTCCAATCACATATTTGTTGAAGATAACTAAATAATTTATATCCAAATTACATTGAAAACAAAGTCATAAGAAATAGAATGCCAAGGTACTTTGGCTAGGGAGGTGGCCCACCCACATTTACAGTAGGCCGAAATTTCTTATAAAATGTAAAAAATGTATAAAAAAATATACGCCGATACTTACTTAAACGTGGTTGGGAGATAAAATCTCTCGAAACAGCTAAAACATGCTCTTTAAGAGCTTGTTTAGCACCAATTCCTCCCTGATACGACATCTTCTCAGCTTGCAGAAACCTAGCAGAAGCAGCTGACAATTCACGTGATCTCACGTGACGTTAGTAACACCTATGATGTAGCATTTGGAAACGCCAAAGAGTCAAGAAAACCAACATATGTATGAAAGTATTTAAATATATATTATGTTTTTCAATCTATTGCTGATACTATAGATGCGGCATTGACTTTGGATGCCGAAATACTTTTAATACTTTTCGATGAAATGGCGACCATACGAAGTAGGTATTTTAAGCCAAGTATGAATAATAAGATAAGTGATATATTTGCAGATAAATGGACCGTCTGATAGGCTACTACAAGACATCCAGCATACTTACTTGACTTGTCTTCTTTATCTTTGATCGTGATTACGGATACATAGCATCAAATTTGATAATACGGTAATTATATCGACCCCCCGGAAAATTTTTAATTTCGCGTGAGGTCCGGAGGTCGATATAATTACCGAAGGCTTTATACAATAAAACATATATATTTACAACGCAAATACTAAGGCTGTGGCGGAAATTTCATCACTCGTCCAAAATATGTTTGCCGGCTCGTATGGTAATCCCGTACTCGACTTTGTCTCGCACGGGAACGACCACACTCGTCCGGCAAAGACTTATTTTCAGGACTAGTAACGTAATATACTATTGCGTAGCATATGCAATCTTTGTCATTAGTTTTAAAAGTATGTAAAAAAAATATTAATAAATACTTAATAACATAATGTTTTGAATTCATAGTAAATTTTGATTAAATGGTTAGGTCTATTTTTAAAACGTTTTTATTAGCTCGCTTTCTTGTCCGGTACAAATTTTGCAATCAATTTTATACTAAGTTCCCGATGAGCTAGAGACTTAAAACTTTAAACACAGCTCACAAATGGATGACAATGCAATATTATATAATATTTACCTTGGGCTACCCCATGGGCTTGTTTTTATTAACACGCTTTCTTGCAAATTTGGATACTTCCCGATGAGCTAGAGACTTGAAACTTGAAACGTAGCTCGAAAAAGGAAGACAATGCACTATTATGTCATTTAATTTTCATATTTCCCTTGGGCTACGCCCCATGGGCTTGTTTTTATTAGCTTGCTAGTCGCTTTCCTACAAATTTTGATATCAATTTTAAATGAAGTTCCCGATGAGCTAGAGACTTGAAATTTGAAACATAACTCACAAATGGATGACAATGCAATATTATACCATTTAATTTTCATATTTCCCTTGGGCTACGCCCCATGGGCATCCAAATTTTCCGTGTTTACATTTTGAAAGAATGTAAATATATCAATTAAGTTAAGTCAGCTGTAAATACTTAAATTTGACAGTCCGAAAAGCAGAGCTTAAGATGTACAGGCTATGCGCCCAAGAGATTCTTTATACAATTTAGTCGTTAACTTGCTGGACAATAGTGAATTTCCCAACAGACTAAAAATTGTGAAACTTCTTGAACTCCCATACCGATTTGCTTAGTTTTAGTTACATGATATGACTATTTATTTTTCCAAGATCTTTCACTGGGGAGATTCTTGGTCAAGTCATTTACTTATATTATGCCTTTTTACTAATTGTTCACAGTTGTACTGAACAGATTGTAAAATAAAATAAAGTAAAAAAAAACTCTTTATACAAACAAACATTTCAAAATAAAGATAAACAATCTGATTGTATTTTTAAAGTGTTTGTTAATAATTTCATTTGTTAATTATTTAGTATTCTATAAAGTAAACAATAAATTAAATAGATTGATATATTTATAGTTAGTGAGTAGGCCATACATTCAATATTATACATAATTATATGAAAATAAACTCAAATAAACCTTTGACTTCATTGATTCATTGATTCATTGATTGACCTAGGTCGACCACTTAGAAAAGAACCCGCGCGCTAATGTTAATAGCATTAGCGCGCGGGTTCTTTTCTAAGTGGTCGACCTATAACTTCATTGATTTGTCTGATTTTTTCATGAATTGCATTTTGTTTTTGCTTTTGCATTACATTAAGAATTTGGTCGGCGTGATTCTTTTGAGTGTAGATAGATTTGCAGTTCTTCTTTTATATCCATGTTTCCGCCCTTTTTTCATAATTTAGATTTCCCACATGCCTCTGTCTTAATCTGATATAGATGCTTGAAATAGATTTAACATCCACACACGTAAAAAACTAAATACCCCCGCCGCAGCAAACCTGCAGACTAAGCGAATTTCCATTTGACTGATTGGATTTACACTGAAATGTCTACTTAAAAATATAACATTTATTCTTGATTTAAATAGAATTAGTTTAACAAGTACTTAGGTTTGCTGCATCAGGGAGGGTAAAACTGTTTTTTTTTTGTTGTAAAATGTGAATAGTTAGTAAGAAATAAAAACATTTTCCAAATTTGATCAAAATATGTTCACAAACAAGCAAACTACAACAGTTTACTTATTCTCCATAAGAATAACATGGGAATTTTAAATTTACAATTTTTTGGAATTTCCTCCGTAACCATTAGGCGCATAATAACGCTTCAATATACAAAATTATTTGTTTTTTTAAGCTCTACAAAATGGTTTGGAAAGAAATTGCTAAATTTTATGTTTTTTTGGTCAAAAATGGGAAAACCTATTTTTACCCCATAAAACCCCCCGTAAACCCCCGTTCCCATGGTCCGATCATGCTGGATCGCGAACTCGTTCGAATAAACGTACGTTTACACGTTTGTACCAAATTTCATCAAAATCGGATCATTTTTGCTCGAGTTATCGTGCTGACGGACACACACACACACACACACACACACACACACACATATATATATATATATATATATATATATATATATTTATATATGAATTTGGACGGATGGTGTTTTTGGCCTCTAGGGACCTCAAAACGAAAAAAAAATCGGTCCCGCGTCCAGGTCTTACCATGAGTACTACGGTAATAGCTTATTCCCTATATGGAAAATTCGCTAAAAGTAGAAAATAATTTATAAATAAAAAACTTTTTTAAAACAAAACGTTTTTAAACGCACTAAAAAGTAGAAAATAATTTCTAAATATGTGGAGAATATAAATACGTGTAAGATTTAAAACGAAAAACGTGGGGTGCATGCAATTGATAATAATACATTAGTTCAATAGGTGAAGGTAATTGTAAATTATCAATTGCATGCACCCCACGTTTTTTCGTTTTAAATCTTACACGTATTTATATTCTCCACATATTTAGAAATTATTTTCTACTTTTTAGTGCATTTAAAAACGTTTTGTTTTAAAAAAGTTTTTTTATTTATAAATTATTTTGTAACATATGAATGTACAAGATTCTTTATTGATTTGTCTGATTTTTTCATGAATTGCATTTTGTTTTTGCTTTTGCATTACATTAAGAATTTGGTCGGCGTGATTCTTTTGAGTGTAGATAGATTTGCAGTTCTTCTTTTATATCCATGTTTCCGCCCTTTTTTCATAATTTAGAATTTCAACACATTCTTATAATTTATGTCGGATTATACTGTATGAGTTGCTATAAACAAAAACATGTTATTGACTAGTGATTTTTAGTCCTTCAGTTGGTGGTAATATAAGGATCTGTACATATTTAGTAATATGGTGTAAACTATCGTACGTAACTCGTCCAAAATGTGTTTACCGGACTCGTATGGTAATCCCGTACTCGACTTCGTCTCACACGGGAACGACCACACTTGTCCGGCAAACACTTATTTTCAGGACTTGTAACGTAATTTACTATTAAATGCTACTGACAATCATAGAACAAACATGTGTAGTTGAAACAGCTGACAAAATTATTTAATTCATTTTAAATATGAACGAGTTATTGGATTGGCCCGTCCTACGTACGGGAATCGAGTACTGAAGTCCAATAAAACTGTGTTTAGTGTGTCTACTAATTCAAGCATAGTTTATGCAGTTCAAAATTTATTGTAAAGAAAAAGCTGTCAGGACGAATCAAAGCATGTAAACATTGTTATTTTCCGAACCTTTCCTCAAAAAGTCGAGTGGTAAAATAATTTTCGTAAGCTTTATTTGAAGATTCGTGAGCTTCGATTCGTATACAGCAATGGTTATAGAATCTTACTTATTTTTATAATCAATGACAAAACCACAGATTAAATAGACTAACCTCATAGTTCTATAGAATATTTTGTTATTTAACCAGCTGTTAGTTATAACAAATTATATTGCACTAAGACAAACTAATTATTTTAAAGACTGCTCAAAAATAAAAATAAATTATAATCTAGTATCTTACTATGTATTTTAAAATAATCTCTCATCCTCTTACCGAATAAAAGAACGTATCAATGATCAGCATTACACATAGTATAAGTAAGACACCCCTTGTCCCCCCCCCTTGTCTTTTCATTTTTATCCAAACGCTGAATTTGTGTCATAAACGCTGAATGTTTACAGCTGTTATGTTAAGCAAATTATATCATACCAAAAGCTAATTTAGAATGTTAGCGTCGGCTGCTAGACTTTTTAAAAATTAAAACTTAATTTTTAAAAAACTGTGACCCTTAACTAAAATTATAACTTCGATATTCCCTAGTTCTCAAAATTATCTTTCTTTCAACACAAAAATCATGAAAATCTGTCAAGTGGTTGTTTCAGAATTGTGAAATAAAAAAAACCCTGTCACGTTTTAATATTATAGATACTCATAAGGTCAACATGTTGATTGTTGATGAATAAATAATTACTTGTTCTTATTCTTTGAAATGTAATGTAGCGTTATTACATTGTCAACATGCAACTAACAAGGAGCCTGTCACTCCGACACACCAACTCACACTGCAGGTGTGTAAGCAAATAGCAGAGAGTGAAATACAGGCGCTTTGAAATGACGGTAGGTTGTCCCTAAAATCCAACTCTGCAGTCTTACTTCTTCTATACTAAAAAATATGTGTTTCTATTGGTAAGGAGCTTAAGTAAAATCTAAATACAAAGCACTGTTTAAAATACAAGCTTACTAGCAGAGTTTTAAGAACATTTGGTTTACTATAATTTAC